AAAAAACTAATTTTATTTCATTGTTAAATTCTGTTTAAAGTAACAGATTATAATTAAAAATGTCTCTGGACCTTTACTGGTTGATTTTCTTTATTGGTTACCCCTGATCTAAAGCTTCACACTCAAAGCTATTTCTGACATTTTAATTTGAAAAAGCTTCCTGGATGGGAAGAGAAACATCTTCTAACTTGGAAACAAAGTCCAGTGGATTATTTTTTTTTACTTTTTTGGGAAAAACCGATAGGCGGAAGATGACAGAGGGTCAAAAGTAACTCAACCAAACAATTACTTATAACCAAGGTGTGTAAATGCCATCAGAAGCAGAGGGGCCATGCAATGCCATGCAAATACTTCACTTCAAGAGAAAATTGAAAATGCAAACACAAAAATAAGACTTGCAGATGCAAAAATGAGACTAACTCACAAAATACTGCAGTCACAGAAAATAAAGCTGCAAAGTGAAAACCCACCGCAAACCCAGAACCTGCAATAACACGTCATGTGGCTTTTTAATTAGATGTATTACACTTTCAAAAAGTACAATCTCAATACAAACCAAACTAAAATAAGGATCCGAACCAAAAAAGTGGATCTAAGGACTTTTCTGTTGCTAATTTAACCTAAAATACCGCTAAATGTTGCACATCCAATAATTTTAAAATGTGATTTTAGGATTTCATTTGCTAACTCTTATTGATGTAATGCTCTTTTAAAAAAGCTTACTATCTATTTCTATCCTCCAGCTGGCGATGGGATTGCTGCAGGTGGGCTTCGTGGTGATGTACCTGTCCGACACGCTGGTCTCCGGTTTCACCACAGCCGCTGCCATCCACATCCTGGTTTCTCAGCTAAAGTTTGTGTTGGGGCTCCAGGTTCCCGGCATCAGCGGGCCGCTTTCCCTCATATATGTAATCACGGGTTTTTCTGCCGTTCTTAACATGGAGCTGGAGCGTCCAGGCCGTTTTATCTGACCAACTTCTGCTCTCTGTTTCAGACTCTGGAGATCATTTTCAACCAGATCACCAGCAGCAACGTGTGTGACGTCGTGATCTCCCTCATCATCATGGTGGTGGTGTTCATCGTGAAGGAGCTAAATGACAGATTCAAATCCAAACTGCCCGTTCCCATCCCCATAGAGGTTATCATGGTGAGCATGCATCCTCTATCTCCACAGGAAGAGGCGGCAAAGGCTTTTCTTATTGATGAACTGATACATTTTTTTGGTCATGCTTGGTTTTATACCTGTTAATAAGTCTTTAAAGTGGAATAAGAACATTAATGGCATCTTGGCTGCTGTGGAGTCAACTTACATCAGTACGAATCTGGAAAAATAAAATAAAAAAAAGGATATAATTAGAAAAAAATCAACCTTTTTTTGTACAGTAGGTTAATGTTTTGTTGTAAACCTAATGATACCAGTCTGCATCATCTAGTCATAACCCAATGTTCCCAATGTCCTCCCCAGACTGTTATTGCGTGTGGAGTTTCGTACGCTTTTGACTTCAAGACGAGATACGGCATTGAAGTTGTCGGCCAAATTCCCAAAGGGTGAGAAGATATTCTTCTAGCCGCTTCCTTTGCTCCGTTCACATGGAGTGGGACTAAATCAGTTCTATTTGGATATAAAATAAAGATTTTAAAGACGAAGCTTGTCTGACGGATTGCGTTTTGCTCCAGATACGAGCCCCCGGTGGCCCCAAACCTTCACATCTTCCAGGAGACTGCGGTGGAAGCTTTCCCCATGGCTATAGTGGGCTTTGCTGTGGCCTTCTCTGTGGCTAAAGTCTATTCTATAAAACACGATTACACGATAGACGGGAACCAGGTATGCTGTCACCAGTGAGATAAAGGTTCGGTATGTGTGTGATGAGGAGCTCTGCATTAATCTATGCTTTCCCTCCTAATTGGCTGCAGGAGCTGATCGCTTTTGGAGTTAGCAACATTTTCGGAGCTTCCTTCAAGGCTTTCGCAGCGAGTACGGCGCTCTCCAGGAGTGCAGTACAAGAAAGTACCGGAGGAAAAACTCAGGTAAAGTTAACATTTCGTCCTTGCAAAAGGTTAAAAGATTCAATCCTTTTATTAAACAATAACCATTTAACTAAAGGTTTTACAAAATGTTGGGTTCAACTATACTATAGCACTGTAGTGCTAAAGATAGTTTAGTGCTACAATGCTATTTTACATTTTTATACATTTTTGAAAAAGCTCTAGAGAGCCGCGGGTTGCCGACCCCTGTTGTAGAATTACACGTCTAATTTGAGTATTTAAAGGAGATGCCCATTGCGGCTCCTTTCTTTTCCATGTTTTCAAGGATTTTCTGATTTCTGTTGATAAAATATGAGGATATCCGATCTTTAAAGCAACACTTTGTAAGTTTAGACCCAAGAATTGTTTAAAATATAGATAAATCAGGTTGTTTCACAGCGCTTGTTTTGATTGGTGTTCTGTTTGGGCTGCCCTTCTTAAAAAAACTCGTGAGTTGAGGGCCGGCTCCGTCGCTGAAAGATTTAAGTAACCGGGGCAGTATCGTCCTCTTAAAAATTGTTTGTCTGACAAAAAAATATCAGACATATTTTGATCAGATTCCAATAAACAGAGGAAGATGTCTGATTTTGCAAAAGTGCAGCAATGCCAGCTGCTTTAAAGGTATACTATGCAACCGGTGTTGATTTTCCAGCGAGGCTCCCCCCAGAGGGAAAAAGTAAAAGTGCACTGTCGTAAATATGCTCAGCTGTTCTCCTGGTTTCTCCGTCAAGCCAGGCGCGTTTTTTTTGAGCTGAATTTAACGAATCACCATGTCTTCTGCGGTATGTGACTATTTTGTTCCAATTTTCGAGTTTGAAAATTTAGCATGTTAACTAACCATGATAACTGCACAACTATCGC